TTGGGATTCTGACAGCAGCTGTGTACACTGGAAATGACAGTGTTTTCAGAGGAAGAAGTTATTTTATTGGGTACTACAGGACAGCTGTCTGAGTTCTGGGAAAGTTGTGCTGCATCCCTGCAGGTCATGGTGAATAGAGTTTTTACAGGGGTCATGGTGACATTCAGGACAGGCTGTATAAGAGGATTCTGTGCTGATGCACATTTGCAACAAGTTGCCCAGGCACAGAAAGTCAGGATCTGGTGGGTATTGTCAGGAGTCCTGGTGACTTCCATCAGCTGATCCATGACATCAGAAGGTCTTCCTCTATAAAGAATTGAGTTCAAAATACTGTGACTTGCACTGGTGTGATTATGAGCTTGTTTTCCTACTGACTGTAGCTGTGTCTCTTGCACTGGATGGTTGCACTGTAATTTCTGGAGTTGTGGTTCATGATGAGTGTGTTGTTTCCTGTGTGGCTTTTGTTAAATGCAGTAACAATGAAAATTATTGCTGAAGGAAACAGTTTCCATACATGAATATTAAACTCTAATGGAAACCATGTTGTTACTGCAAGATTAACAGAAATTGGCATCTTGGAGGACTATCCATCATTAAGCAAAATTAATCTGTGCCGCTAAGATTGCATGTCCAGCTTTGAATTAGGACATTCTCATAAATGAAGGAACAGCTCACCCTGTTCACTCCTCTGGATGATCCCTATAAACCAGACTTGGCCTGCAGGCTCAGTGGTGACAGCCTCAGCCTGTCTGTGTTGTATGTGCTGGAGAGGGCCCTTCCATGGATACAGTTCTTTTTCACCTGGATACTGCTGGCTCTCGAGACCTGTGTTTATTCAGCTGTAGAACAGTGTTAGTACCTATCTTGGAGGCAGTTTAGTGGGTTTCTTCTTTAATGTTTCTTAAATTTTGGAACCTTTTCTATGTAGGCTTTATAGAGAGGGAGAAGTATTTTTCATTTTAAGTATCACAAGCACTGAAAGATTCCCTTGGTGACTGACTTGATGTGCAAATACAGGCAGGGCATCTCTGTCAAACATATCATTGCCATTGAGTGGAAAGGCAGAGCATGAATCACTGCAGGGTTTCCTGATTTTACTCCTGTAGGATGTTAAGAGAGGCTACAGGAATGTAATTGATGGCAATGTGTGAGCTGCACAAATTGAAAATCATGGGAGGATGAGAAAAACATCAGCTCCACACCAAACTAGTAATGATGGGGAATGGGAGCTTTGCTGTGAGCATGTGGATGTGCAGGGAGTCTCTGTCTGTGCCAAGCAGACTTCAGGACTGGGAGTTTGGCTCCCTTCCCAACAGCAAATACATTGAGCAGGAGGAGAGCCAGCCAAGTTTTAATCAAGTAAAAGTTCTGTATCCAGAGGTGTTTGGCAAAAGAAGAGATTAAAGTATTAGGAGTGCAATGAAAACAAGACATTAGAGAGTTGAAAGCTGGAGTACCTGGACAAACCACTTGCTGAGTGAATACTCCAGAGCCGTCAGGAGGGAGCCCCAGGTGTTTGGAGTAGGACAAAATGGGAACCCACACACCAGGACTTGTCTTCTCCCAGCTTTGGCCATGCAAGTGTGTAATGTCCTCATGCCTCGCTGGGCTGGGGAGAGATGGGATCATTCCCCTTGGAGATACTGCTGGTGCAGGGCTCAGAGCTGGCAGCAAGGCCAACAGCTGCAAACTGTTTATGTATGACAAGTTTTTGGATAAATGTGAGTTTACACAGTTGCCTGTGTCCCAGGCTTTGCTGTGGAAGTGCAGATAGCTCTGTGTGTCCAAGCCCAAGCACAGAAGTTATGGGCTGTAATTATGTAATTTCTCAGGAGAGAAAGGAAAAAACCCTCGTGCTTGGTGATAGTAAAAATAGTAATTGGCTTTCCTTTCCCTCTTCCACTGATGCTCCTGCTTGACCTCTTTTATATATTAAAAATAGATTTGTGGTAATTGCTGGGAGCATATCTGAAAGATAAGGACATTTTCCCCCAAAGAAAGTCACTATCTGTATATTTGCAGAGGCACATGAGAAGTGTGGGGCTTTCTTAAAAAATAAAAGACAAAAATCCCAGTTCAGCTTCCTTCCTTCTTTTTTGTTTTCACACGCACACACCTGTCTCACAGACAGGGCCAGAAGCAAAATTACCAAATAAAAGCATTTCCTCTTATATTATTCCCAGCCTGGTAGAACCATGGCATGCCAGGATTTTCACAAACATGTCAGAATTTGTGAAGTTTTTATTCCAGTTCTGCAGACTTGAAAGGCTCAGATAAAAATCTGGAAATTTAAGAGGCAAACAACAGTTTCCATTCATCCCAATGAAGACATAAATCATGTTAATGCAGCTACCAAGGCATTGTGCTACTATTGTTGTTGGTTAAAGGTGTGTTTTTCTCTGCATATCAGTTATGTGGATAATTGGACTGGCTTACAAAAAAGTTGCATTTATGTTAATGGTTCAGCTAGATTTACTAAAGATCTGGAGTATGTTTGCAGATCAATAATTTATTTGCTGTTGATATTCTGATGAGAGGAATTCATGCTCAAATATATTGGTCCAAAGGAAAATTATAGTCTTAGGAAATAGTTTGATAGAAAAAATAGATTTCAAAAACGTTTTTAAAGCAAGCTTTTTCAGGCTTAAAATGTGATACCAATTTGTTATAACTGGCTTGTTGTTCCAGAATGACTCTTATTAATAAGAACTCAGCAGTTCATGAGCTGGACTTCTTACTGAGTTCATTCCATGTACTCCAAAGGTTTCTGCTCTTCCAGGATTATGAGTTTCTCTGCCCAGTCCATTTCTGTAATAATAAACTAATTTTAAATAGCTACATTTTTTTAATTGATCATTGCAGATATTATAAAATGGCCACACAGGATTCACATTAAGCACTGAAAATAGCTTATAAAAATAGATGACTAAGAGTCTGTAACTGAGCCACAGTCACTACTTCTTTGACCACTGGTGGATGTACAAGTACTTAATCATTACTTTTCCACCTTTGAATAATGAGGGTTTTAGCACAGAGCAAAAGCCAAAATAATAATGTGGATATGCATTGCCAGGTTCAGTGGGGATTAGAGCCACTAAACAAAGACTTCAGAAGAATTACTATTTGGCATAATTTATTTGACATTTTAATTGGTGTTTAACATATTTAAATATATTGGCAGAATTCTAGACTGTTCTGCTACACCACACCTCTCAAAAATAGGAATGTTGCCCCCTTCTATCTCCATGATGGCAAACACAGACCCAGCCTCATTTTATAAAATCTCTCAGAAGGAATTTAGCATGAATAATTTCAAGCAAAACTGACTTGCCTGATTGAGCTGAAATGCAATTGTTGCTTCTCAGTTAAAACCTCATGTGTCAGACACAACTGAGAGATATTGGCACAGGTGAGTGGAAGATAAAGGTGGAATAATCAGGTTTAGTAGAAGAAATAAAACACTTTTGGTAAAAGTCCTGCTCTGTCATTTCTGCCTAAAACTGCTGAAAGGGAACCAAAATATCTCTCCCTATTCAGTAAAGGTGTCTTTCAGCTGATTCAAATACTGGTTTTGGCTTCCCTTTAGCCAAAAAGGGGCACATTCATTGGGCTACCAGGTGTGTGGACTGAGCTTGCGATCTCAAAAATCTTTCCCAAAGAAGTCTGTTCCTTCCTGAGCAATTCCTTGATGTCCTTTGGACTATTCTGCATGTAAGAATCGAGTCAGTCCAAGAAGAGTGCTGAAATCCAGCCTTTTAGGCCCTTGATTTAAAAGGTTAAATCTTGATCTCATTTTTTTGTTTGTGGTATGAATCTGCCCTTTCACAGTCAGCATTTTTTGAGTAAGCAAGTGTTAGTGCCTGATTTCTGCCTTCACTCTTCTCTGCAAGTGCTGAAGTAAAAGGCTGTTGGCCATCCCTTCATTCCGTCCAGAACACTCCTGGCAACTAATATCCACATCCTTGTTGTTGTCAAACCTCATAAAAACAGAGCTGGAATTCTTCCAGGTCTAAAGTTTTACATTTGCACCCTGATAAACACAGCTTTGTCAGCTCTGAGAAGAAAAGAAAAAAAGGAAAAGAAAAAAAGGGAGATCCTGGCTCCATTGCATGGTCATGGTCTGCTCCTTAAAGGCAGCTCCATCCAGGCACCCCTCCATGGAACCAGCACTGCAGTGAGGAAATAGATTCCTTGAGTGCTGTTAAATACAAATAAAAGCAGATATATGCACTGGGGCACCCTGAGGTGCCAGCACAGCATTCCCAGGTGCAGTGGCACTTGCAGCAGGGCCCACTCTGGCTGCAGGAAGGGCACATGAGGACTATTGTTTTTCCATAGCAGAGGTTCCATGCCATAACTTTTGAATTCCTTTTTGGCCTCAGCCTCAAACCATTCGTGGTGCCCACACAAACAGGAGAATACTGTGCATGGATCAAATCCTAAATTCCACTCAGTAATAGGAGACTTGTGCCACCTACATTGGCTTTGTGACTCACCAGCAGCCTTTGCCAGCTCTCCTGGCTCTGACACTCTCGCTTGCTTTTGAGCATGGAAAGAAGGGAAAATGTAAGATCTTTTCAGAGTCTCTGCTTTATTGTTTTATTCCTGCTGCCTGACTTCATTCTGAAAATCAGAACTCCATTTAAATGCTTGTTCAGGCTCCTTCACTGCATCTTCTAATGCTGTAGTAGAGGGTATTAGTAGACAAGTTTAGATGAATTTTTGGGTCAGTGAAATTATCTTTGAGACAGTTAAATATATTTTCCAACAAAAGCAGTGGAGGTGAGTGTGTTTTACTTATTTCCTGTCTGACAAAACTCTGGACTGATTCTTCACTAGGGTGAGGAAGAAACTACTCAGATGATCTTGTATGGAAACTGCTCTAATGTTTTTCATTCTGGTTGCATTTTTGGTCACTTTGCTTGTTACTGCTGTATGGTTTAAATGAATGAGCTGTTTCACTGGTTCTGATGGGAACATTTTCTGTGTTTCGTTTGCAGGAATTGCTTACCTAGGAGGCGTCTGCAGTGCCAAGAGAAAATGTGTTCTTGCTGAAGACAACGGTCTCAATCTGGCATTCACAATTGCACATGAACTTGGGCACAAGTAAGAACTTGTCTTCTGTTTCCTTCTTTTCTTTTACCACTGCAGGGTACTTTTATTTAAAGCCAGACAAATACAATTACTAGACTGGTGTGTTTGTTATGGTTTCATAAATGTAGCACATTGATACATAACCTAATTTTCAGGAGGATTATGTAAATACCCATTTTAGTACACAGAAATCTTTCTAGCTTTCTTCCTCTGTTTTCAGCTCTCTGTTCTGATTCTGGGAAGCACAAAGAGGCCTCAATCTCTTAAATGATTGACAGTAATAGAGACAAATTCTGATTTCCTTTACTGTGTAGAGTAGGTCCACAAAATCAACATGAGCTTCCAAATCTTTGAACTTGCTACGTTTTCTCTGAAGTTCAGGTGTCTGTGTCAAGGACTTTAATAGTTAAATAGTTTGGTAATGGTTTCATGTCTGCATGTGAAGTGATCTGCTTTGACTGAAATGGTAAACATCAGTATTTTGGAAATGCCCTTAAGCAGAATTATTTGATCAACAGAAAGAATTCCTATAACTTGATTTATCAGCTCAATCACACCTAAGTAAGACACTTTGAACACACTGGAAAAAGCAGGAAAGAACGTGACAAGTCCTAGTCAGGCAGCAATTTGAAGAATGAGATTACTGGGTACTTTCTGCAGGTGACTTTGGAGACTCTTTAAAGCTGCCTATAAATATGCCATGGGCAGAAGAAAACAGAATTGACTGGAAGAGTCAGCTGCATGCTCTTAGTGCAGAGAATGAGTTAACCAAAGGTCAGCTCCACATTCCCTGCTCTCCAGGCCCAGTGTCACTGCACTTACTCACAACACTGATGAGCTTTTTCCCCTTCCCATTGACATCACTCTGGTTGCAGTGTCACAGTTGGGCTGTGGAAGGTACAGAATTAGGCCAGGAACAAAGTTATACAGGGAGCAGGACTGTGCCTGGGGGGGTTTTCAAGCACTCTTTCCTTCAGCCTCTCTGGGTGTAAGGTGGGAAATCCCAGCTTTGTTCCTGCAGTGAGAAGTTGTGCCTGAGGTTTTTCTGCACCCTTCCTGCAGCTCATGTGTCTGGTGTATCTTCCTTTCCTGCAATAAGAAGAATTTCACAGCTAACTCAGAGCCAATGGAGCGTGTTCAGGTTCTGGCCAATCTCATTCCATGACAAATAATTACTTTATGGCAATGTATTTCAAAGTTGCATGGAGGATATTTAGGTTACCTACCAAAAATGAATCTCCTGTTCACCCTCCAGTGACACCAAAGGCAGCTGAGCCAAACCGAGGGTGGTTTCAGCAGAAATGAAGGACATTTGGTTTTGGTTTTATTTAGATTGCATGCCAAGATGTTAAACTGAGCCTAAACTTAATAACAAATTAACCTGTGGGTAATGCTAAGGGAAATTCAGCACTCATCTTTGGATGGGCCAAGAGCAAGAGGGAAAAATACTTGAGCTGCAGAAAATCCAGCTGTGTGAAAGAGTGAGACTGGTCTGCCCTGGTGTTTGCCAAGTTTCTCAGCAGAGCTGACAAGCTTCCTTCTAATAATGCCTTGCAAAAAAATCCCCATCATAAATAGGGGATGTAATGCTTTCAGATACAGCTCTCCATCTGTGCAGAAAATTGCCAGCTCCATTTTCTTTTCTGAGGGCAGTTTTGGTGGTAAGACCACAATGTCTTTCCTCTGCTGGTTTTCTTTCTTTGCCTTCATCTTGGAGAACTATTTCAGGAGTACTGGAGGGGAGTGGGGGCTGCAAGGGCCAGTTTGGGGACCCAAGGCTTGGGGGTAATGTGGCTCTGGGAGGGCACAGGAGCCAGGAGGGCTCCACCTGAAGGTTGTAGAAGCTGTTGGGAGGATTTTGCTGCCACAGGTGTTTGGGGACATGTTCCAGGTTATCTCACTCCACAAGGAGCTGCAATTCTCTGTCACACATTGGGGCAAACCCTTCTGCCCCCCCTGCCTTGCCACCAGCAGCCTAATCAACCCCCAAATCAAAACAGAGGGGGGAAATGCCATGTCTGTCACCCCCCCAACCTGAACAACAAAATCATCCCTCTGTGCTGTCACCCACCAGGGGCCTGGCTGCTCATTTCAACCTCTGACCAGTTGTCTGGTGTCTTCTGCAGGCCAACAGCAATCCTTTCATTAACCTTACAAGGTGTCAGGCCTTATTCTTCTGGTGTTGACCTGCAATAGGATGCTCTGAGCAGTCCTGTTTCACCACATCTTGTGCAAATAGAAGAATTCTTTGCAGACTTTAGTTTTTGAATGAAATGTAAGGAAACCTATTGCAGACATGAACACAAAGAAGCAGACATGAGCTTTGAAAATGAAAACCAAGGAAAACTAGGTGTAAGTTTCTTAATTTAAAATAAAATCCAATCAAAACTTACATCCATATTGGCAAAAATATAAATTTTGGAGAGCCATAATTTTGAGCTTTATTGAAGTCTGATTTCCTTATGAGTGTAGAAAAGCTGAGATTTATTATTCTTTCCTCAAGACTAACAAATGTCTGTGGAGATCACAAGCCCAATTTGGCATTCACAGATAGTTTCTGATGTGGACTTTGGAAAAAGTGAATGGATTACTAATTGATGTGTCAGATTCCTAATCTGCCACTAATGTCATTTGGACTGACTGCAAAAAACACTATTCCGGACAGCTGCACTGTGAAAACATGGAGACACCATTAAATAGGTCCATTAGGATGAAGTAGGTCCTATGGAAGTTGAAGGATGGAAGTTCATATTTAGGTTTGACCTGTGGAGTTGTTGCTTGATGGTGGGGTGAGGGATGTGACTTTTGTATTTAAATCTCCAAGTCTGTACTGGTAGTTTTGGTCCATGGACACAAATGGAACATCCATCTGTATTTAGATACAATTTTTGCTGCAAAGGATCCAGGAGAAGAGTCTTGCTGTTACACAAAGGTGACAGGCAGGGAGCCCAGTGAATGTGTATTGAGCCTGCAAATCATAAACTTCTTCCCACACAAGACAGGACCCCCAGCAAGCCTTGTTCCTTCAGTCAGCTGGGTCAGCAGTGATGTCTTCTAAAACAGCACACTTGAGTTTAACCAGTGTTTGTTGGATTTTATCCAGGGTTTGCTGGGTGGGGTCCTGACCTACACCTGACCCAGAGATCACAGTGGTCACTGAAATCTTAAAATGTACCAGTCTGAGGTCTTCATATTATAAACATAATATGAACACTGAGCATTTCTTACTCCCATCTTTCCTCAGAATTGCAGGGCAAGTCCATCAGTAAAAGCCTAAAAGTGCCCTGCTTGTGTCACAAGGGTCCTGACTGGTGCCTCCTGCCCCTCCACGTCCATGAACTGCACCAGCGTGAGCCTGGTCTGAGATTCACACCCCAAAGACCACCCTGAACAACCAGCTTGGAGGAAAATAGTGCCAGTTCTCCCCCTCCTACTTCACTCTTTGCCTAAGTTTTTGGAAACAAAAGCTGGGATTCATGCGTGTATCCGTGCAGCCAGGGGGTTTTCAGGACAACAATGCCAGCTTTGTTGCCATTGCTGTTTCTTTCAACAGCCTCAGCTTTCCTGTTGTGGGATGGGGGCAGGCTTGGGTGAGGAGGGAAGATTCCCATTGATGAGCCAGAGGAACCTGGCACTGCCTGGATGGGGAGAGGATGGCCTGAAGTGGTGTGGCTGGGAGCCACGCTGGGGCAGATGCCCTTAGGAAAGGGGATTAAAATCAACTGACAATAAGCAAGGAGCTGCCTCCTGCCAACAGCCTGAAACCACACAGTTCAAACTTGAAGCTGAAACAGATGAGGACAAAAACCAGTCCAAAGGTAAAAGCCCATAATGCACAAACCAAACAGCTCAGGGCTTGGAATCAGACAAAGAGAAGGGTTTGGAACCAGCAGGTTTCTCTCCAGTGTGCTTATTTGCTTTAGATGTTAGTATTGATAGCTGTAGCTTGAGTAAAATTACTTCAGAGTGCGTAATTCTTTGCTGCCTTTGTGGTGTCTCAAGCATCGTGGTGTTGCAGGTGAGGGAGAAGCACTCTGGCTGTTGCCTCTGTGGGCTGTATTTGTGCTGATGGACTTGTGAATAACATTGGCCTCTCTGGTCAGTGTAGCTCTGCACCCAGCAGAGATTGATGCAGATGTGCCAGAATATGAAAACACTGTGTGCTGAGGAGTGTGTCAGAGCACATCCCAGAGGTGCACAGTGATGCCCTGTAACAATTTACTCCAGCAAAGCCAGTCCCTGTGGTGCAGCTAGTCAGGATGCCTGAGAACCAACAGGAAATTGCCCTCCTTCTCCCCTGCCCCACAATTTATAAAAAATTGGTCATAATGCATTTTAAAAATGAGAAGTTTCATGTGGAAGCTGAGGACCACCCCAGTAAATGTGAAAGATCTGTGCAGACAGGTGATGCTGCAGAGTGCACACTGTGCTGATAGAAACCTCCTTCTGGATCAGCCTGTCCTGCCATTCCAGTCAGAGCAGCACCAGCAGCATTGGAGCCAGACAGCCAAATCATGGTGCTGGGGCAAAGGCAGTGCTTCTGGAAGCCATGGAGAAATGGAGGGACCTCTGCTAAAAATTCTCTCTTTTTATCCTGGGGTTATAACATTTAGGTGCAGGATGTGGGAGCTGAGAAGCTGTTTTGAAAGAAAAAATGCCAACAACCCTCTGTGTTTTTGAGAGCAGCTCAGCCCAGTCTAACCCTTGAGCTCAGGGTTCTACCAGTGGAGGCAGCTGAGTGTAGTTTCTGTCCTAGCTGATTTTAAACATTAACCCTGTCTTTTAAAAAAGTCTCTCACCTGGGCTTCTTTTTCTTTTCTGTGTTTCTCTGAGTTAGTCCTACATTTATCAAGCAGGTTCTGCCTGACCTGAATTTCTGTGGGACATTTTTCTTTGTTGCTGTTGCAGAAGTACACTGATGTGTCCCCAGTTATTTCATACCTCCCAAAAGGCATGAAAACCAATGTTACTTAAATTGTAGAATCAAACATGCAGAAGCACCAAAGTCTCAG